TTTTAAAAGTCTCTAAAAGTTACTGTGTATTCAATTAAAATGTTTTAGAAGTCTTTATAAGTTTTGAGGTATTCAAATTTTAATTATTTCTAGAAATTTTTATAAAACTCTCTAGAGTATTAATTTTTAGGCAAAAAGTACTCATATAAAATCTTAAAATTTGTCTCTAATTAATCATGAGATTTTGGAAAACTTTCACCCAAAAAAAAAAAAAATCAAAAATCAATCTTTCTTTTCTTTAACCTTCTATGGACATGTATGATTAAAATTTATTTTTTCTATTGATTATACTCAATTTATCTTTCTCTCTCATTATTTATTTCTATTTTCTATGAAAAATTAAATTGGATTATTGTAACTTTTTTTTCTTTTTTCATTTATTTTTCTGTGAAAATATCTATTTTTTTTTATCAAATTATAAAATTTTATATGAAAATTTTATAATTAAATTTAAATATATTGATTTTTATTTATTTTTAAAAGTATACTATACTAATAATATGAATAATATATATGTGTGTAATTTTGATTATTATTAATTTAATTACGGCCATAAAAAATCAATTTTTTTATTATATGGGAAGAAGAAGGGGAAGGAAAAGGGAGATTGTGAAAACTAACATCTTGTATGTAAGAATTTCACACCAGATATAGGAATTTCAATTCAAATGAAAGTCTTCAAAAAAATTTTAAATTTAACAAAAGTCTATAAAAATTTAAAAATGAAAATTCATAGAAATCTACAAAAGACTTCCATTAATTCCATACAAATCTGTAAAAGATCCAAGAAATACACAAAAGTCATCACTTAAAAAGTCTATCAAAGCTTTCAAAAGTTCCAATTAAATACACCCCTATAAAAAAAAGTGATAAAATTTTCAAGAAGGTGACTAAAAAAAGTGGCACACTAATAAAAAGTGACAAAATTCAAAAAAAGTGACAAAAACTAAAAAAATTAACCAAAATTTTAAAAAAGTGACGAATTTTAAAAAGTGACACAAATTAAAAAAAAAAAAAAGTTATACAAATTAAAAAAGTGACAGAAAATAAAAAAAGTGACATTTTTCTACATTCTCCTTGAGCAAACACCTTGCATGCTTCAATCTAATTGATTCAAAGTTTTTCTTTTCATATGTATTAATATGAAATAAGGCTTGAATTTATATATTCAAATTTTCAAAAAAATGCACACATACGCATCTAATTAATTGCTCCAATGAGATAATATGATTTTTTTTAATTCACATTCTCCTTGAACAAACACATTACATGCATCAATCTAATTGATTCAAATCTATCTCTTTATATATTAGCATAAAATAAGTCTTGAATTTGTATGTTCAAATTTTTAAAAATGCATACATATATGCATCTAGTTAATTGTTTAAATGAAATTTATGATTTTTTTTAGAAAAGTGACAGCATATCACTTTTTCACATTCTCATTTCGTCAAACACCTTGTATACATTAATTTCATTTATTCAAAGCTAATTGTTCATATATATTGACACAATCAATTTCTTCTCAAATTCAACAATGTTATTTTCAAACATGTTCATAATCACAGTAGCCCCTGTCATAAAAAAGAAACTTCATAAATCTCAATTATTTACATTAGAAGGTTCAAACTAAACCTAATCACATTGCCAACAAAATCTTTGCTCCTCATTTAAGTTTCACTTCAACAAATGGACACCAATCTGCTACCTCTTCAAACAACTATGCTCCAGCAGTAATCCAGAAAGAAACAATGTACCCAACCTCCTTCATCTATATGTTCAGAACTTGCCTCCAAATCCTCAGCCTTTCCTATCTTTCCATGGCCTCTCCATGTTTATATAGTAGCCTAGAAACATGAGTAAAGATTTATCCAGTAGCCCAACTTTTTGACTAATGGAGTAATATAGTGATGTATTTAAATCAAACATTCAATCCCACAAACAAAATATTCTCGAAATTTTACAAAAAAAACAAATCACAATAGAGAAGACTCCATAAATCTTACCTTCAAAAGACATTAAGATCCAAACGACCCGCAAAAGCGGAATACCAACCAAGAAAGTAAAGATTCAACCTCAAAATCTTATAATTTCAATTAAATAAGAATAAATTTAGACATTTTTGGTGAAACTTGCACGTGGTCCAGGGATTTGAGGGGTTTTATAATGTATTTATTACGTTGTTAAATGATTTGACTAGTTAATATGGTATTAATCAAATTAGTTAACTTTTTAGGATACTGGGCCTAATTTGCCCTTTAATTTAGGAAAGAATTCACAAATCATGGTTTAACTATGCACAGTTCAAGACTCATGTTTTAAGTTTAACTAATGCAAAAATCAGGTTTTAGTTAGTTAATTAATTTTTTTATTAATTAAATATAATGAGGTCACATTTATACAATTAATAGTCACATGAATATAATTATAGGTCACATATTTTTTTATTAATCACATATCATCAAATTAATTGGTCACAGATTTTTTTGAGGTCACAAATCAAAAACTTCGTAGGTCACAGATATTTCGAGGTCACATATCAAAAATTGTATAGGTCACAAGTCATATATTTTCAAATTTAATGGTCACAGATTACTTTTTAATCACAATTGATCGAATTTCAAGGTCACAGATTGCAGTCACGGGACCAAATTAGTTGGTCACAGATACCCAATCCCGAGCCACCCTCACCCCCTTACCCGGCACCACCACCAATGCCAACAAAATCGCCACCAGTCCCCGTTACCACCGTCACCGTCACCAACACCAACAAAATCACCCACGACCCAGGTCAAATCAAATGCCAACCGCAGCCACCAACCACCACCTCATTCGACAGAAACCACCACGACTGCTACCACCAAACCCACCAACAATACCCAACCCACAACCTCACTAACACCACTCACATCACCCCTGCCGGCTGCCAGCACTAGCACCTCCACCACCAAACACAACAAAAACACAACCACCGCCAGAGCCATGCTCACCACCTCACAACAATGGTCAATTCGTTGGAGCCATCTTCATCGTTGCAGCGACAAAGATCAGAGGCCGTGCACAGTTCGTCGCAACGACAAAGATCTAAGGCCGCGCACAATTCGTTGCAGCGACTCTCAGATCTAAGCAATGCCACAGATAGCCAAGCACGAACATGGCGAAGAAGGTGGAATCCCAGAAAATGTGATCGGCGAAGCTCTGTAGTGATGATACCACAGCCGCGTAGAGCTCCTGGAGAAGGTGATCGACAGCAATGCTTCGCGTAGTGGCGGTCCAAGCACTGTGGTCGCCTGTATGATTGGGTGCCAGATTGCTGGGCGTCGCGTCTAGTGGTAGGCCGGCCACCTGGATTGTACGTGTGAGAGGGAAGGCAGCGTTGCCTGTGGTTGGTTTAAATTGGGTAAGATTTTAGGGTTTGATTAATATAAGTTTTTAAATTAAAAATAATAATAGTTACAAACCTGGTTTTTGAAGAAATAAACTTCTTACCTTGATTATGAACTGTGATTTTTAAAGACCTGCTTTTATGTAATTTCCTCTTTAATTTACTTGATTGAGGCCCAACTAAAAAATGGATTAGAATGGGAAAACATATTGTTAAGCCCAATTGAAAGGCATCCATGTCCAACTAGAACCCATGCATATTTAGCTCTTATTCATGGGGCCAAAGGGGTGAAGCGGGTTTCCTTCCTCGGTATTACGCTAAAAATTGTGGGTAAGGCAAAAAAGGTGACAAATTTATCTCCTTCTTGGCTCCAATCTATCTAAATGTTGCAGTGATTTCTACTCAACTTCTTCATCAACTAAATTGGAAGGTAAGATCAGATTTTGCTAGTGTGCAACGGGATTTATTTGTTGAAATCGCATTCTATCTGATTGTTGTGAAGGATATATTATCAGTTCAACTCTAAATTTATTTATTTTTCCAAATTCTTGTTTCTTGATGGTAATTTTCTTCTAGCTACAGTGATTTTCCGACAACATTTTATTGAATTTTGATGCGGTTTTTTAAGGTTTTCTCCTTGCCTTAAAAATTGGCACCCCTCAAGTGTAATAGGTGAAATACCCGGGACCAAAATTCAGTGAGAGCAATTGCACCACTAGACCACCCAGGTGCCCCTGCCCCTGCCCCTGCTCCTGCCTCTGCCTAATGTTATATAAATCCAATTATATAAAGATTGAAATATTGAACTTTAAGAATTATGCGTTTTTCTCAGTGAAGTTTCAATATTTACAGTATAAAGATTGCGGATTTACTATATGGATTCCTATTGTTATATTAATAAATAATTTATTTTTGCTTCATCGGTAATGTCCAAAAGAATGAGAAGTAAATGGCGAATGTATTTATTTATTTTTTATTTTTTTGTGTGTTTTAGGTAATTTGAAAACGGGGAAGCCTTCGAAGAAGAAATTGAGAAAGTGGAACAAAGTGACAGTGGTTCAGATTTTGACAGCTACATGGAATATCAAATGTCACCTGATACTGTTAGTAGGTCTGAGCATGGATCGATTCGGTTCGATTTTAAAGAGAATCGAATCAAATTTTTTTGGATATTTAGTAAATGGAACCATCTGGTCCAAATATAATTATAAAATCGTTCAAGCTCCGTACTATAATTAAATATTTTAACACTTATAACAACACTACATAAATACAACTAATTACACGTTCAATCATAAATTTACAAATTAACGTTTAATAACATGTAAATAACAAGTCATCCAACAAAATTAATTTACCAATCGCATATAGAAAGCTTACACACTACCTTATTCAAATGATCAATGGTCAAAGGTCACTTAAATCGAAACCAATCCGAACTCCCTTTTTAATGGTTAAAATTAGTTGAATCAAACCGATTTTTTATTTCAAACCTACCCAAACTGACCCGACCCAGTTTGGTTTGGTTGATTTTTGAAAATTTTTTCCCATCCCTACGTGCAGTACTCCAAGTTATCAATTCCTGCTTAGTAACTACTCGTATTAAGGGGGGAACAAAAAAATTACCGAAAATTTCAAAGTGCAGGAGAACCCACTTTTTGCTGCTTCCTTTAATAGTTTCTTCATAAAAGCATAGAACTATCCAATAAAACAGAACTAAAAGATTATGGGCTGGCATGTACCGTCCAGTTCACAACAAGTATCATAAAACTAGAAAATAATCCACATTCTGTATGATCAAGCACAAGTATCAGTTCCTCACACTTAAATTCATTGCATCAGTAACATCTGAACTCACAAATAAAGTCTTCCGCAAAACCCTTCAGTACCTTCTCCGCTTCTGTTTGCAAATCTTCCATTGTTTGAGTATTTGATGAATCCCCTCGTCCAAAGATGCCTTTCTCTTTTCACAAGTATTCCATAGCTCTGGCAATGGATACCTGCCACTTGGGTTGTACTCATTGATCTCACTCAGAGCAGTAGTCACAGCCTCGTACACTTCACCGAATTCAGATTTCAGTTCCTTCAACTTTTCATCATCCTCGTTGAGTACTTCCTGATCAATTGCACAAGATAAATCATAAACTTGTGTAAAGACCGGAATGTTGACAAACGAACAAATAGAACTACATCCGGATTGACACATTTTCATGATATTACTACAATGTATAATAAATGTTTTGAACACTCAATTAGATACTTTTTCAATAAAAGCTTTTATTTGCTGAAATAAAAAAGATAGGAGTCAGTTATAAACTATAGAAAAATGTACTTTCCTAAAGAAATATCTTACGGAAATGAGCATCAAACTGCGCGTCATGATTTAGTAAATGAATATACTAGAACATATAGAGAGCAACGATAATAAATAATGTAGTCGGATCAGTTTTGGACAGAAAGCAAGTTTTAGAGTAAAACACGTACCCTAAAATCATATAGGACGTTTCATTAAAATCGACTGGTTTATAAATGACAAAAACTAAAAATCCCTTCTAATATTAATGGATGAAGGTTGGGTTATCGCACGGATGAAGAGATAGTCAATGAAATAAATTGACTTGAGTAGATACTATAAAAATTAAAAGTTCCTGAAAAGGCCTTGAATTAGGAACTAACAATGGTTTGTGTAGTTAAAACAGAAATAGCTCTCTGAAGATTGAACTAAAACAAAACCAATCTCTCTGGAAAAGATTGTTTAAAATTCTTTAACACTTCACACTTTCAAGTCACGTGCCAGAGAAGGGAGAGAGGAAGTTTTAGTTTACTCGTTGAAAACAAAAAATGGGTGCAATAATAAAGAGTGAATAAAACATTAATAAATTGCACAAAACACGTGCATGCTGATGTCCACTTGTAGAGTGTGTAGTGAGAGATAGAGTGCATAGGTTAGCAAGTCTCATCAAGGCAGAGCCTGATAGAATTAGTTAATAATGCATCACTGCATTGTAAAAGAAAAGTGTACCTTGGCATTTTCTCCATCCATTATCACCTTATAGGGATGCCAGCTAGGATCCCTAAGGTACTCCTCCCACAAGGAACAAAGCTGCATTGCTTTCTCTGCCACATCTTCATGAGAATATTTTCTCTTTGCAGCTATCAAGAATGGCTTTTCATCAAGCTCACCCATCCTCTTAACACAAATGTTAGAACGTGAGTCCTTCAACCCCTATAGGAAAAATAAGTTTAGCAACATCGAGTGTTATATAATATATGGAAACCAATCAAGACAAGTAATAAATATCACATTGGTATGTTGAATCATGGTTGTAGTATGTGAATAAATGAGATTGTGATAAATAATCAAACAATATATAGCAGCAAAAAGAGAACACAAGAAGGATAAGAAGATAAACTCGGGGTTTGTAAGTAGAAAAAGTGAAAAATCACATTGATAAGCTCCTTGCGAGCTTCCTGCAATTCGTCGTTGGTATTCCTTTCCTTGATAATAAGATTTTGACTAAGAGAAACCAGATATTCTTGTTCTTCTTCCTTTTCCTTGAGCTCCTCTTCTAGCAACTCCAACTTTTTTGTATCTTCCATATCTCCTTCATCAGTCATATGTTTCATTACCTCGACAGCACCCCTCATCCTCTGTATTTGAAGCTCTAATGCATGCTTTTGGTCAAGTTTTGCTTCAAGTTCAATTATCCTTTCATGAAGTTGTTCCTTTTGTCTCTATCATTAAAAAGCAAATAACAATTGACTAATACCATCAGATATCAGGAAACATTATAATTCTTTTAGTTCAACTTTGGAATTAAAAAAATTATAAATGGAATCGCAGACCTTCTGGTCCTCTGCAAGCTTCATCATTTTTTCATCAGCCTTCTTCTGTTCCAAAAGAGCCATCTCATTCTGCAAAAAATAACCCAATCATTCCAATATTTGCAGTTTCTTTAGAAAGTAGGGACCAAAATTATTGTGGAAACAGTCAATCTAATGCACAGGTTATTAATGATCAGACTCAAAGTAAGTAGATAGGCTAAGCACCAAGAAATTTTCTTTTTCATTTATACTTTGTAATATCTTAAAGGAGTTTTCAATAATAAGAAAAACTAGAGAAACAAAAAAAACATCCTAGTGGGAGACATACCATTTTCCTTTGGCAATCGAGCTTCAGTTTCTCACTCTCATTCAGGGCTCGGAGTTGTTTTAGTTCTCTCTCCCGTGTTTCCAGCTCTACTCTCTGAGCCTCCAATTGTTCTTTACTTCTTTCACTCTCCATGAAAATGTTATGGAGCTGATCATATGCATTTAGCTGCATTTTCTTGATCTCTAAGTAAAAAAAAAAAAAAATTTGCTATATCATTGAACAAATTTCATGAAGTAATATTTTACCTTCGTCTATATCTAACTTGAATAAAAGAACATGATCAAACCTAAGATTACTTATTACCATACCTTCATTATAGGTTTGAATCATCTCTTCCTTTTGCACTATCACGTTTCTCATAAAAATTTCAGTCTTGCCTATATTCTTCCTCATGTCTTCGCATTTCTTAATCTTGGACTCCAGTGCATTTGTTAAATTGCTTACAAGAGTTGATTCTTTCCTTCTATATTCTCTTTGTATGTCAGACACGGTAGTAAGGTCTCCATTCTTTCTGAGGTGTTTGCCAATAAGACCCCCTAACCTGTATTCTTCTTCACTGGCAAGCCATGCATACGGTTTATCTCCTTTATGCTTCGCTGCATACCAATCTCTCTTCCCCCTTTGATCTCTTTCAAACGACTTCTCGAATGCAATAGCATTCTTGAAACCTTCCCAATCTTTGTTAAATTCAACAATTGCAAACCCTGAGTGACCTTGGAAATTCCACAAAGGTTCAACCTTTTCGGGGTTGAACCCTTGGCTTACCCACTCCTCTTTCAGTTTCCGACCACTTTCACCTACATACCTTCCATCTTTATATTCAACTGGTATGTTTGCAACAACAGCCATCCAAGGCCAAACAAAAAGTTCATCGTTACCTCTGTGTGTAGATGAGCTGGCAGGTAATACACTAGAATTAGATCGCAAGTTTTTTTCAGTAGTTCTAACACAAGATTTTACTGAGGAATCTTTAGCAAACACAATTGTTTCCGCAGATTCAAGAAGTATTTCCCCTGGCTCAATAGTTATTTGACCCTGTTGAGACACTATCTCCCCCGGTTCAGTAGTCATTATTTCCCCCTGTTCAGTTGTCACTATTTCCCCTGGTTCAGTCACTTTTCCTCCAGTAAGTTCTGCTGATTTGCTCTCTTCACCTAAATAACTCATTTCTTGCTCAGAATTTCTCCGAATTGATCGTGATGACTTCCACAATGTATCCCCATACCTATCCAAATACTTTAGTAGACCCATATGTCTAGCTTTTTCTTTAAAGCTTGCACTCTTTGAGTATCTAGCTATGCGAGAAGCATGCCTTTCTAGCTCCCGAAAGTCATACTCACTTCTCCTACGATCCCAACAGTAAGGGCATTGGAGATATTTCCCAGAACCCCTGATTTTGACTATTTTGTCTCTCAATTCTTGATAGTACCTGTTCTTTAAATCTTCCAGCTCGGAATCATTATTGTCACTCCATCTTTCTCTTTTGTAGGACATCTTCAACCTATAGTACTAACTGAAAAATGAAAAAGAAAAAAAACCAATCAATAAGAGAAAAACAGGTTGAATAAGGAAATAATCAAAGACAAGATTAATAACAATACTATGTTGTCTGGTTTTTTTCAGAAGGAATTTGCACAATACTTGTTTTTAAACATAAACAAAGGGAAAAAAAAAATGATATTCTTGCTTCAGGTTAATGAAAGACTCTACCCCAAGTAAACCACCTAAATTCAATATTTTCTGCTGTTGTAAATAAACAGGAAACCAGAAACCAAAAAACCAATTTGTATATTACTTTGTTCAATTAATGATCAACAACCAATAAGAAAAGGACTCAAATTATTGTACAATGTGGAGAAAACTGATCCAGCTCAACATCCAATCAGTTGATGATGTGGTGGAAATTCAAATGAGTCAGCAAAGAAGACGTGAAGCCTTTGGAGCAGAATTAAGCGTCGGATTGTTGAAGGACATATTCCTTTTGCTGTGATCATACTTTTCTGTTTTGTAAATACTGGAAATTGGTTTTATTTTATTTCAACAATAGAGCATTTGAGAATACAACTTCTAGGTTATAAATTAGCACCTGATGTAACTTGCAATTTATTGAAGAACCAAAAACCCAATTTGCATAAGTTTTTCAATTATTAGGGGTGGACATGGTTCCATATGGTTCTAACTCCAAGAGAACTGAATCGAACCGAATCATGAACCAATGATTTTTTTGATAATAGAACCAAATGATATTTTTTTAAAGATATGAAATCAAACTAAACCGAATCGTTCGATTATGGTTTGGTTTGGTTTGGTTTGGTACTAATTTTATTTCTTAAATTTTTAGATTTACATCATATATGCATACCTAAATGAGAAAATAAACATCAAACATTTAGGAAGTTTAAGTGCTTGTTTGTTACGGATTAAAAGTCAATTAAAATTAATTTTTTGACCATTATTTCACTATTTCAGCAGTAATTTTTAAATTCTTCTCTCATAAATAGGACCCACTTTATTTCTAACGGTTGAAAAATCAATCATCAAAATTTCTATCAAACAAGCTTTAAATTTCAATCATCGAGATCAAAAAAGTCATAACTAACAAATAAAATATATTCATAATTTGAATACATAAATCGGTTATCGTTTTCATACAAAAAATTGTTTAATAAGTAATAGCAATAATTCACTAAATTAATTGCAGTAGTTTTGAAAGCACACCCCTACAATAAAATATCAAATATCAAAATTTTTACGATCCACTTTTACAGGCAACATTAACCGTTTAATATTTCATTAATGTTTATTGGGTTTTCTTCTATTTGTAAAGAACACCAATAACTCGTCAAACAATCAAGGTAAAAAAAGAGTTTAGAGACTTTTTAAGTAACTGACCAATTTTATTTTTCGATATTAAATGATACTCCACTGACTTGGTGAAATGCGGTATTAGTATTTGCGACGTTGTGTAAATTGGAAAGGAGTGAAGGAGAAATAATTCAACTAAATACAAAATTAGGGTGCAGACAACTAATGAGTTGTTTATCTCTAATGACTCAAAATCGACTAATAAACTGTTTTCAATTAATGAGCTATCTCCAATGAATATAAAATTACAGTCTCCACTAATTATTATATATAAAATTAAATATTAAGTTTGGTTCTTCTTCTCGTTCTGGTTTTTGAGCTAGAAGTGAACCAGAACCAAAATCAAATGGTTCTCGATTCAAATAACCAAAATCACTAATTTTTTTTGATAGAACCGAACCGAACCGAACCAGTTGGTTTGGTATGAACATTTTGTCCATCCCTACCAATTATTGTTCACCACCCAACGGAAAGACTAAAAATTTATGAAGAATTATTTCCAAAACTTCCAATTGATATATACATTTATACATGGTGAAAACAAAAGAAAATAATATTCAGAAACGCACTGGAATTAACATTTAAGTTGAAAAATCCAGATTTACAGTAGATCATAATCTCCGAACACCTAAACATGGTCTGTACGCATAAATTAACAAAATAATTAAATAATCAACCCCCTCAGAACTCTTCACGGCAAAACAATATTTAAAAAAAAAATAAAAAAATGGAAACAGATTTCGCTTCCGCGTATAGTCGAAATAAAAAGTGCAATATCGTGAGCAAAAAACATGCATTCAACGTAAACAGTACACGAACGTTTCATATCTCGAAACCAAAATTATTTGTGGCCTCGCCGAGCAGACTAATAATACACAAATAAAAAATTAAAATAAGGAACACCATTTAACGGGTTACTGAAATTTAACAGAAATCGTACCAATTTTTTATGGAAAAAAATTCTGAGAGACCGCACTGAAGAAATGTTTCAATTCTCAACAATGAAATGTTTTTCTAGAATTTTCGGCCAGAGAGAAGAGGAAAGATAAATATACGAAATGCCATCAGAGAGTTTTTGGATGAAAAAAGGTAGAGAAAAATAAAATACGCGAGACTGATAAACTGAAAAAACAGAGACTCATGCCTTCCTTTCGAATTTTGGTAAATTGTGTACGAAAGGCGACTCCTACGCGCACTCTAGTACAGACGGCTGTTTACGCGCACCACGTAGGAAAGAAGACCTTACATTGAAGGCGTTTATTGAAAGATAATAAACTTACGAGGAATTGCTTGAAATATCCATTTTCATAAATTTTTGCAAAAATATCTATTTTGAATCAAAATATCCTTGTCAACAATTTATGATTATATACAAAGATAAGAAACATAACCTATCATATTTATTTTAAAAGAGCACATGTCAAATCACAATTAATGTTATTTTTTTTATTGACACAAAAACGTCGAGAATTACATTTTAAGTGTAGAGAATTGTCATGTTCGAAATGAAATGCCATTCTAGAGATTTAAAATGTCGAGAACAACGTTTGAAATGTCAAGAACATTTAATATTATAATTTGACGTATATACTTTTAAAATATAAACGAGATTCAAATATCGAGAATGATATTTGAAATGTTGAAAACATTATTTTAATGTAACTTCTCATGGAAGCTACTTCTCGAAATTCGCAATAAATTGAAAAAATAAATAAATTGCTTCTTCTTTCATAAAGGGCATAATAGACAATTTAGTACTAAATTTAAAAAAATGACATTTTTCAATTGACACTCATAAAATTAGATATTTTTTAAAATACCTCAAAACTTATTCCCTCTTGGTCTCATTCTAATTCTTATTCTTATTCTAATTCTTTTTATATCTCTTATTTTCAATCACATAATATTCCATAAAATAATATTATATGTAAATCAAAAAAGTTTCACTCTTTTTCAATCACACATTATTAAAAAAATAATATTCCAACCATTAAAATTTGATAAGAATGAAGGCCAAACGGGGCTTAATTTAATATCTATTAATGTCTCTAATCAAACAAATAATTTAGACAATATATCTATTTATGTCAAAAATTAAGCAAATAATTAATATTCTTTTTCTTGTGAAATTTTATGAATTTTAATATAGTCATTCAAGAGTTTAAGAATTTGATGAAGTTTAGTCGAGTTTAACGAATCAACATATATTATAGTATTGGTTATTAAGTTGGGATTAATTGAAAAAATGAATTGTGAAGGAGCCGTGGGTTTAATCTTCACAAATTCATTGATTGAAAAATATGAAAAATAAATAAAGATGATAGTCTTCTTGTACAGCCGAGGTTGACAATGTATTCACAGGAGGGGGGACCCACGATTTTTCTATTCAACTTGAGCCCCCTCCCATGTGTAATTGTCAATCGGGGTTGTCAACCCCAATTGTACACATAGCACATCTAAATAAAGATAGACGAACAAAGAATAAAAAGGACAAAAAAATAAATAAAAATGACATAATAAAAAGAAAAATTATAATGAGAATAAGTATGGAATCTCACCAAATGTTTGGATAGTAAATGAGTAATAATTGTTAATGTATCAATAAAATTGTGTAGCGCGTTCTTTTTTTATCCCAATGTTCACCTCAATGCCTGCAGAAGTATACGTGCTTCTTTACATATCGAGAATGGCTTTTCATCAAGCTTGCCGATCCTCTTGACACAAATGTTCAAACTGGTATATCCTTCAAGCCCGATTGGAAAAATAAGCGTTGTGACATTGAGTCTTATACCTGAAAATCGGTCGGAACAAATAATATATATGACTACAGTATGTTAAATCATGGTTGTAGTGTGTGAATATATGAGAATGTGATGAACAATCAAACAATATATAGCCAAAAAAACGGAGAACAAGAGTGAAAGCTCACTTTGATAAGCTCTTTGTGAACTTCCTACAATTCGCCGTAGGTATTCCTTTTCTTGATAAATAAGATTTTGACGAAGAGAAATCAGGTATTTAGGTTCTTCTTCCTTTTCTCGAGTTCCTTTTTAAGTAACTTCAACATTTTTATATCTTCCTTTACCTTTATCAGATATGTTTCATTACCTCAACGGCACCTCTCATCCTCTGTATTTGAAGCTCTAATGCATGCTTTTAGTTAAGTTTTGCTTCAAGTTTGATTATCCTTTCATGAAGTTGTTCCATCAGTAGAAAAAGGAACCATCCAAACCAAGGCACAAGAAATCAATTGCAACCATTGGTGAGGAATTGATAATCCATATCTTGTAAACTTAACGGAAAATTGCAGTCAAGATATTAAACCTTTCATTTAGTAGCAGATTTAACCTAAACATTTTATCTGTGCTACCGTAGGTACCAAATCTTTAAAAAATTCACCAACTCAAGTCCAAAATTATGGTTTCTGTAAGTTTGACCCCACCAGAAACCATTAGTTGACCCCATAAATTAAAATTTTAATAATTTTTCCCAAATAAGACAAGGGTAATTTGGACATAGCATATTTTTCCTATTACATAAAAAATTTAAACAAAATGTAAAACCACAATTCCTACCCACATCTTCTTCTCTAATCCTCTCATCCCAAAACCAAAATCACTCCTACCCAGCCACTAGCTGCCTCCGTTGGCTTCAATGTCAACCCCAATTTCGCATTTTTCACCAATTTTTTTGAATATCTTCGAGTATGTCATGCGGTAATTTACAAAAATAAATAGCGAATAAATACTTGGGCAAAATTTCGACTTACAAAATTAGCGTAATAAATTAGAATGAATAATGGTTGAGGTAAGAGTTCGACTCTTTCTCCTTAAGACGAAAATGCTCGGCACTGGTGCTGACGGTCACCTGGCACCCGTCTTCCAAGATACAATGACCTCGACTTGTAATAGTAGCACTCCAAATTACAAGATCCGACGAATCTACTAATATTTGATCTCTCGAGAATTGGAGGACTAAAATGCACGAAAATAATATTTGGGATTGAAATGCAAATATATAAAAACTGCAGGACAAAAAGACAATATTGCAGGAGAATGGAAGTAGAATAAATTTTTTTTGAGAGTGAACAAAAATGGAGGATCTGGGGTCTATTTATAGAAGTTGAAAGGTTGTGCCCAAAAGACACAACAGCCGAAATGTTGTATCTTGGAACAGACATAACCCATTTGGACAGACAGTTAAAACTATCACCAACCGCCAATTTCTAGAAGAATCCACAACCCGGACCCGGACGCATGCACGTGCATGTGCTGGTGCCGTGCCAAGCCGAGCCGATCGGTCGGATGGACGGACGGCGGCGGCGTGCGTGCGTGGGCTTTAATTGAACCTACTAGCATGTAGGTCCTCTCCCCTCTAAAGACTAGTGGTACCCCTTGAGGCCAAAATCCAAGTCCTTAACTTGAGTTATATAAAGTGGTTTCTATTTTTCTAGTTTTCCTATGTGGGATTGCACTTTCCAATTTCCCATCAATTTTTATTTCCAATTTATTTCAACTTCAAATGGTCATCTTTTGGCTTTAATTTCTCATTCACCCTTAATTAGTTTTGAGAAATAAATACATATATCAATTCTACTCATGGAGTAGAATGCACTTGGCCAAATAAATCATTTATTCAACTAATAGGACCCACTTAAATAATTGGTCAAAAGTTGGTCAAACCAACTAATTATTCCAAATTTCCAACAATCCCTCACATGAATGGAAATTAATGCAATAGATGATGCAGACCCTAATGAGAGATCAGGTGGAAAGTTATTGCATCTGGATAGGTACTTTATGAGTTTGAACCTTCCATAGTAGTATACTATCGAATTTACTTGGCTAATCAGTGAATATGGTGTCTTGAACTGTCAGCCGTTATTGTAAATCAAGACAATAGTATTAACACAATAACCTCCCTAATATTTTTGAATTCTCACCATCGTGTTCATTTTGGCCCTGAACAACTCTTGGATTTAATAAGTGCTTTAGAGAATTCAAGCCCTTGAAACATTCTCATGGAAGCAGCCTCACTTCACACTTATATAGGTGATTTCCTATTAGGAGTACCTGTCATACTTCACTTGGATACTTCAAGATATAGGAATCATTAAAAGCATATCTTAATCTAAGACTTTCCGCAGATAACACTTCTCTTATCATAGAAATGGGTAGGAGTAAACTCCGAAGTGCTTTTTCAGTCTTCATAACTTAGTTGTCCCATTGAACCAAAATCTTGGGATCTTCAGTCAGCAAGGTTGGGTTTTCATTACAAAGATCCTTACTTAATAGGCTTTAAGCACATTCCCCTTGATAGGTAATACATTTGATCTCTTGGTAAACCTTTTATGAGTGGATCCGCGAGATTTTCTCTAGATTTTACGGAATCTATGGAAATGACACAATTCGAGATCAACTGCTTAATTGTATTATGTCTTCGATAGATATGTCGAGACTTACCATTATGCATACTACTTTGTGCTCTACCGATAGCCGACTGACTATCACAATGTATACTAACTGCAGGCACAGGTTTAGGCCAACATGGAATATCCTCTAAAAAATTACGAAGCCATTCTGCTTCTTCTCCAGCTTTAACTAAAGTTATGAACTCTGATTTTATCGTGGATCGAGCTATACACGTTTGTTTAGATGATTTCCAAGATACGGTCGCACCACCGATGGTAAAGATATAACCACTAGTGGATTTTGAGTCTTTTGTATTTGATATCCAATTAGTATCACTATATCCTTCTAATACAGCTGGATATCTTGTATAATATAATCCAACATTTGAGGTATATCGTAGATATCTAAGAATCCTTGTCAATGCCTTCCAATGGTCATTATTTGGATTACTTGCAAATCTACTAAGCTTGTTCACTACATATGTTATATCCGGACAAGTATAGTTGGTGATATACATTAGACTACCTATTATTCGAGAGTACTCCAACTGAGCTATGTGCTCACCTTTATGTTTGCCCAAATGTAGACTTAAGTCTACTGGAGTTTTAATTGGACTTGCATCATATACATGAGTTTTTTTAAGCACAGTCTCAATAGAGTGAGATTGAGATAGAACAAATTCCTCAGATTTCTTAAGGATTTTAATTCC